AGTGAGAGCATCTCTCTCTTGTCCCGCGGCAGTGCAACGCTTCGTTTAAAATGTCGCAACTTCGTTCCAGTAGTCAATCGAAATGTGGAGAAGTCGTGAGAAGTTACTTTGACGGGACTGACAAATGTGATTGCGTGCGTTAGTTCATTAATATCTCATTATAATGTCGACGCGTATTTCGTGTGGGCGCGCACTTTAACGTTTATATTAAACCCAACGATGATATCACCGACTATTGTTGTAATCGTTTTTCTTCATATTTTAATAAGATGAGATAATGGGACACACTAATGACAATGACAGTCGAATTCAACGGATAACTTTCGGATCTGAACTCGCGGATAACTTTCGGATCTGAATTTATCAAGAGGAAAATCTAACTTTTTCACAAATTTCCGCATGGCAGTAGATATTCTCGGATATTTTTTCGAGAAAAACTTAGAAGGCAAATATTCTTCTTCTATGTCTCTCTCTTTTTTCTTTTGTCTAAAAAAATTTGATCGTTATCAGGGGTTGACATAATTTTGTAACTTCTGGAATTTGCGGCACTTTGTAAAGATGATCGATAGTCGGATTTCTCTGCATCACAGATGACGCCTATTAAATGGTAAATGCAGGCGATCATCGATTTACCGGATAAGAGATCGTTCAATTAATCAAACGGGATGTGAATTCAGCAGACGACAGCTGTAAGTGATTTATAACAAAACTATTCTATCAATGCGTCGACTCTTTGACGCGGGGAAGGCGAAAGAATTAAGTTGTAGTGAAGTTTTACAAACGACATAAAGATGTCGCCGAACAAAGAGGAAGAATAATGTTGACTAATCAAAACTTGCAGACAAGTTCCACATACATCTGCTTTTCGCAGATGTTTAAACTATTTATAGATTTCCGCTGGTCGCGCGCGACCCAAATTTGTTAATAACGAGATTTGTTAATCGGTATAAATAGAGAATTTAAATGTTCACATATCAGGAAACTAGTATCATCACTCGAATATAAGATCGCTTATCTTTATATCAACGAGAAATATACCATCATTTTTATAATAATAAATTACCGTTGACTTTTATCGCTACAAATTATCATAAATTATTATTATTATTTGTAATTATAATAAATTATATAAATGAGATTTGTGACGGCTGTAAACAATAAGTGCAAGGCAAATGGCCTTTCTAATAATCCATCTTATGATTTAATGATTAATTTTACAATTTTTCTTTATGACGTTACTTGTAAAATTTTAAATATGCTATTTTTGGATTTAATGATGTTTTTATGTTTAATTGTGTGAATGTACTAATAGGATGTGGGCGATAATACGCGTCTTGCTGCAATACTCGTTAGTAATTACATCTATGAAATGACGCATGTACGTGCGGATTCATGACAAAAAGATCAATTTAAAATTTTTGTATTGTAATATATTTAGCGAATTAATAATTCAACAAGATAAAATCCAAATCTATCTTGTACATACCTGTAAGTAATACATCTTTCGCAGGTGATACAGATCGACGTTCTGGATCACGCTAACTCGCGTACTCGCGAGCGGAAACACAACGAGAAAACCCTTTAGAGGAATCACGCGCACTGAAAAAGTTTTAAATTAGCACTATATGAAAAGGGTACGATAACATCTTCTTATTTAAGCAAATGTATAATCACGAGAGATTTTATGATTAAGAACAAATAAATGTGCAAACGGGGAAAAGAAAAAGTATCGAATACGCTGAATAATGACCATTTTTATGTACACGACTATTTTGTTCTATAATAAATTATGATAACATCTAATCATTTTTTATTTGTACACTTAAAAAAAAAACAGTGTGCGGTAGTATGTTTATTTATGAAGGTTTATTCATAACTATCATAACTCGTCCGAGGAAATAAAAAATTATATCCCGATTATCCATAAGTACCATAAGATTACCCATAATTATCCATAAGATAAATAGTATATACATATCTTTTATTTTGTTTCTGTTTATAGTAATAATATCATTTAAAATATGTATTCCTTTTAAGTTTATAATAAAATTTTATTTATACTATTATTATAACTAGATAATGATATATGATTTATTTTAATATAATTATAAATATATTATTTCTTTTTAAAAAAACAAATCTCTCGGTTTCTAGAGTACTATTTTTACATTGTTTTTGAATGATTTTCCGATAAATCAAAAATATTATATCAACATATTCTTAAATTCCTGTCACGTTTTTCATTTTTTGGTAATTTTGCAATAATAATATGTGACACAACACACACAGAAATTATCCGAAGAAATTTGACGCAATTAAAATATAAACAAAGAATTGTATCTTATTTTCTAAAACACCAAATAATTTAATTATTTGATAAAAAAACTACGTTGTAATTCTTTGGTTAACCGTACACTGTTTTGAAAAGAAAATAAAATCCTCGATGTCGAGTCCTCAATCAGTTGAGTTACACCACTATAGATAAGGTATCACCGGGTTCTTGCCTGGGCGTTCGTGTTGATTCAAGGGATTTACGCGATCGATGGTTTCTTGCGGGGTTTCACAAAACGAGATCGGCGGAATTATGTGATACACGTGCGTATGCGTATACGAACAGGATGTGCGGAATGTATATTGTGCTGTTATGTCGTCGATGCACTCTCCGGCGCACGACTGTGAACAAAGTCGATACGTAACTGCTCGGCATGCTGGTACGTTGGGTTTATATAGCATGGGTCTCTAATAAGATGATTCTTGAACGATGTGTCGGGGCCCAGGTAGGCGGTAAGTAGAGGGGCCTTCTTGTCCGTCATACGGAGGGACGGAGGGATGGCTTCCTTGCCGTGTCTTACCTTGCCATGTTTCGTTTCGCCTTGCCTTGTCTCACCCTTGCCTCATCACTGCGCCTTTACCTTGCTTTAGAATCTTGTACGGAGATTGGCTATGGAAGAGCAAAATGCGCACGATGCTTCCTCCGTGATACGAGATCCTGATTTCTTGTATTGTAAGATGAGAACGTTAAGAACGGGAGTAAGTGCTCGAGAAAGAATGTTTTCTCGTACGTGAGAAATTTACATTAAAGCATCATTCAATGATATTAGAATGTGAAATATTAAAAGAAACAAAGAAGACATAGAGTATATATATATATATATATATATATATATATACT